AGTTTTAGTTATTTTAGTACCTTTTGTGAAACTAAAAGAAAATGAGAAATGTTTAATTGGAAACTGGTTGAAAAATAAGTTTGTGTGTGCACGCGCGCGCGCGTGTGTGTGTGTGTGTGCATATTTTATTTTATTTTATTTCAGTTAACATTTATTATTTTTCAAGTAACTAAAATGTTTTTATGCTTTTACTTTTATTTATAATAACCTTGTGAATGAGACCCCTGTCAGGTCTACATTTGCATTTAAATAGGCTTTAAGTGATTATTTTTACTACATGCTGTGGCTACTACAAAGTGACAAAAACGCCATGTGTTTTATTTTGTAAATATTGATTTATTAGACTGTCTGCTCCCTATTATTTAGGAACCTGGAACCTTAAAATGAAACAAAAGTAGATTCTTTCTCTAAATCACATTCAGCCACTATTACCCACCCTCGTAAAATCCATTTTATGCGTTCTGCAAGTGAACGTGTATTATTGTGCCATCTCAAAGAGGCACAAAATCACTTTCACTGACTTGGAATGACCTGCCCAACTCAGTCCCTAACCATCTTCAAGAAACGACTAAAAACACATCTGTTCCCCATTTATTTGACCCTCTAACTCTAGCACTTTCTATTCTATTTTAATTCTACTTTATCTATATTTATCTTTTTTTTTATTTATTTAAAAAAAAACTAGCGTGCTTTTATTGTCCTCATTTGTAAGTCGCTTTGGATAAAAGCGTCTGCTAAATGTAAATGTCAATGTAAATTTAGCCTTTTATCTGTCATCCAAACATGTTTCCCGTCGTGATAATTAAACGCATCACTCATTTCCTTAGATACATAAAAACATGAAACATCAGGAAACCACAGTCCACTATTCAACGAGCAGCGCACTGCATTCCCATTGGTCGAGAAAGACAACATCCGTTTCTTCCGTCAGCCATTCATGTGAACGGAAGGAGGATCCAATGAATAAAACAACGGCCTTTCTATCTGTCAACCAATCAGCGGGAAGAATGAATGCGTTTCGGCCAATCAGCGGCGGCGGGTGGATAGGCGGCGGTGCTGATGGTTCTCTGAGGCGCTGGAGGGTGGGGTGCGAACCGAGAAGCGCAGCTGGTTTGGTTGGATTTACTGTTGAGTTCACGGGTGAGTCGAGCTTATATCAGGCGCTGTCTTTAAACTATTAATGTGATTTCTTAATAGAGAGGTTTGGTTTTGCTCTGGCAGGACCGAGCCTATGGGAAACCATTGTTTTATGTTTAATTTTGCCATTATGTTGAAAGATCATGCAGGCAGAGTAGCTTGTTAGCGTAGCAGCAGCTGTTCATTACATTGAAGTGCATTGATAGTCTCATGATCCTAACCCGTCACTTTTTGTTTTACAATGGCGTGGTTAATAAATGCATAATATTACTGACACAAATTTGTGTTGTTTTCTTTTTTTTCTTTTGTAATTAACATGAAGTTGTTAATTTTCTAAGCACACTTCCTGTTCTTAGAGAAATGCATTAAGTGGGTTAGGTTGCAAGGTGCAACTTAAACATTGATGTTAGATATTTAGTCCATACGTTGAACATATTTGCTCGAATAAGTGAAAGGTTGACTGCAAAGCCACTTTGAGAGACGAAGCCAGCCAACAAAAGACAATTGAACAGCCTGGTGCAATTGAAATGCAGTAATCTGCAACACAAGCAGCTTAATGACCGCATGTTTAACATTCTAGTGCTGGCTCAGAAACTCATACCTGACCTACAGTCGGGTCCAGAGGTGTGAGATCACGTGTTACAATGCTTTTATTTTGCATTCATTTCTATTCAAAAATTGAAATTGCAAATGATATTATCAGATTTGATTTGTGCCCCTTTTGCTTTAGTGACAGCAGCACTTGAGCTGCATGAACAAAAGTGATGTGATGATCATAATTTGAGATGTTCTAAAGAGCATCTTATGGAAGCTTGTTTCTGCCATAGAATAAAAAATCAAAAAGGTAATTGTGACTTTTTATCCCATAATCTGGACAACTTGAGAAAAAAGTCAGAATTGTAAGATACATGTATAAACTCAGAATTCTGACTTTTTTACCCACAATTCCAAGTTTATATTTTGCAGTTCTAACTTTTTTTTTCTCAGAATTCTGTATTTAAATCTCAAAATTCTGACTTTTTATTTCAGAATTTTTGAATTGCATGTCACAATTCATCTGACAATTCTGACTTTTTCTTGCAATTGCGTGTTTATGTATCACACCACACAATATTGAGTTTGTCACGCACTTTTGACTTTTTTTTTTTCTTAGATTTTCAAGAATGGAAGCAAAAAAAAAAGTCTGTACTAACAGTCACATGATCAATGTCACTGAAATAGAGAATATTCCTTGTTCATTTTACATCACAACTTTTCTATGCCCTAAATCCTAAAATGTCCTGCTTAAAGTATTTTCAGATTTAAACGGAGAATTTTTTTTTTCAAAAAATGTGGTCTCAGAATGTTAGACCCCTCTGTATATGCACTTAATTGTATTTATTTATTTTGCTGACCAATATGCTTTAGTATTATGATACAGTATTGATTGGTATATTATCCAAGATGATTAACTGGCCAATATTTGGCCATTTTGAGATTATTGGCATCAGCCAATTATCATTCCCACTATTTGTCATATTATTAAGTTTTATAGTCAGTTTAATATGTGTGTGTGTGTGTGTGTGTGTGTGCATATACACACACACACACACACCTACATACATAAATTATTACACGCTATAAATAAAATATTTAATGTAAAATAAGTGTTTATTTGATTTCAGCTTATATTTGCTATAATTAAACAGCATTATTAGGTTAGCCTATATCTTCTATATTATTTCATCTGTTAGGCACTTCAGAATGTTAGACCCCTCTGTATATGCACTTAATTGTATTTATTTATTTTGCTGACCAATATGCTTTAGTATTATGATACAGTATTGATTGGTATATTATCCAAGATGATTAACTGGCCAATATTTGGCCATTTTGAGATTATTGGCATCAGCCAATTATCATTCCCACTATTTGTCATATTATTAAGTTTTATAGTCAGTTTAATATGTGTGTGTGTGTGTGTGTGTGTGTGCATATACACACACACACACACACCTACATACATAAATTATTACACGCTATAAATAAAATATTTAATGTAAAATAAGTGTTTATTTGATTTCAGCTTATATTTGCTATAATTAAACAGCATTATTAGGTTAGCCTATATCTTCATGAGTATTATTTCATCTGTTAGGCACTCTGAACTCAGTGTCAGCCATTGAAAACTCAACCATTAATATAAGACTCATCTTTAGTATTGTTCTTAAATGGATGTATGGCTTAACATTCTCCGCTGGCAGTTTATTTATGACCAGATTTATAGTGGTAGGAGCATGTGTTTAATGTATGGAACACCTCAGTCACCAACTTTTACGATCTATTTGGCTATTTAATTATTTGTAGATATGAACTCTATCAGTCATATTTTTTGATGTACTTCATGTTTGTGTGGGCTCAGTGGAGTGCTGCGGTGAGGTTTGCTACAACCAAACATGTTCATTTGAATGTCTCTGATTTATTAGATAAAGATCATCATTTTAAAATCTTAATTCAACCAGTATAAATAACATCAACAGATATTTTCCTATAAGATGCCATCTCGTTGATCACATGGTGAAATGGCATCACAGGCGGGTTACACTGTAAATTTACATGTGACCATTTTCCATAAACATTCTGTAAAGTTTAAATTGAAGAAAAATCTCAAACAGTTAGTTTTGGTATATGCCGGGGCATAAAACAACTTTAAATAACCTCACTAATGTTCATCACTTGTAAAGGAATGATATCTTCATTCATCACTTTGAGACGTTTGTTCATGACCCGGCAGACTATTTAGATAATGTATCTCTCTGTTTTGACTCTAAAACCCATAGATTTGATTGGTTGGAGAGACTACATTGTAAAGATGTCACACAACACACATTAACAAAAGCCTTATCTAAACTTTGTGTAATGTGTATATGTAATAAATTAAATCACAGCACTCTTTGCAATACAGTGAAAATTAATGAGCCACGGGCCTCGTCACATATAGACCCAGATATCTAGAATCTGAAAAGCACTGTATGTTTGGACTCTTGTGAAATTATATTATATTTTATATAATTTAATCATAATTTATCATTTGTATTATCAAATTTATAAGCCTATATAGTCTCTCATGCACACTAAAGCTGCATTTATTCAATAAAATACAGTAAAAACGGTAATATTGCACTGAAAAAAGTTTCATTCATCCAATTAAAAAAATTTAGGGTAATGATTCACATCTATATTTTTTAACTTGAGCCAATGAAAAATAAATAACTTTTTTTTTTCAGTGTGTGAAATATTATTACAATTTCAAATAACTGTTTTTATTTATTTATTTGAATATAATTTCAAATGTAATTTATTCCTGCGATGCAAAGCTGAATTTTCATCATCATTACGCCAGTCTTCAGAAATCAAACTAATATGCTGATTTGGTGAGCAGTTTTTTTTAAAAATTATTAATGTTGTCATTTATCTATTTTGTCTTCCTGAAGGCAAAATAATAAGGTTAAACATGCACTGTTGCATGCATTTCCAGACATAAGTTGTGCGTAAAAAGAGCAGATTAATTTATATTTAGCAGTAAAGATCAACTTTAGCCATATATTAGAATGTCTTTCTCAACCCATAACATATTTAACTTGTATGGGAAAAAAATGCACATCAAAATAAAAAAATTGAACATAATTTGAGTCTTTAGGAAGAGAAACCTGGGAACTTTTTCCCAGGTCTTATGAGGACGGCGGAACCCAAAGGTATATTCCTATAAATAATACATCATATATAATATATAATGACGTATTTAGGAAGAGGCAAAGTTCCTCTGGCTCAAATCTGAAGCGCCCCTCCCAGAGTCACATGACTGTAGTTCCGTGACTCGCCGGTGAGGTCGCTGTTGAGCGGAAGACACGCATCCATAAATACACACACACTCTCTCTCGCTCTCTCTTACACACGGGATTTATACTGAGAACAAGCAGGCAGGCGGCAGGGAAAAGCCCCGACGTCCCTTTCCTCGTCCGTTCGAGTATTTCACAGAGCCAAATGCCCGGTCCGACGCAAGCTCTATCCCCCAATGGAGAGAACAACAACGACATCATTCCGGACAGCAACGGCACCAACATCATTCCCTACAGAAAGAACACAGTGCGCGGAGAGCGCGCCTACAGGTACACCACTGCCATTACCACCCGCCGGCCGCTTTACAAAGAAACCTCCGCTTTAAGCGACCTACAATCAATGCATTTAGCAGAAAATATCAAGATTATATTTTTCAAGCCATGCTTTCCCAATGCACTGGCTATGGGAACCCCGAACTCCCATTATGGCTGCGTTATATCTAACGGTGGGGCTTTTCCTGAGCCAGCTATGGCGTTTCCCCGATGGTGCAATTGGAAAATGACTATATTTGTACTTCACTTGTTTATTTTTTGTGCCTAGCTTTTTTCCCTTAGATTTTTTTTTTCCTTGTTTAGTTTTGAGTTCAAGTGGATAGATAGTGGGTGAACTCACAATTCTGTATGAGAACAAACAAAGCTCAAAAGCTTCTATTTAACATTGTGGAGTGCTCTGTTTCTTGGTATTTACTTGATTATCTAGTTTACATTAGGATCATGTTACACAGTGTTTATGGGCAAAACATGCAATGCTAGATAGCAGAAAACATTTAGAGCTCTTAAAGGAATAGTACCAAAAATTAAAATTTGTTGAAAGTGTATTTACCCTCAGTCTGTCCAAGATGTAGTTGAGTTTTTTTCTTCTTCATGGGAACAGATTTGGAGAAATTTAGCATTTCGTCACTTGCTCACCAATGGATCCTCTGCAGTGAATGGGTGCCGTCAGAATGAGAGTCCAAACAGCTGATAAAAACATCACAATAATCCACAAGTAATTCACAAAACTCCAGTCCATCAGTCTTGTGAAGCGAAAAGCTGTGTGTTTGTAAGAAACAAATCCATCATTAAGACATTAAAACTTTAAACCATCGCTTATGGCCAAAATACAAGTTCAAACAGTTCCACCATTGGAAAGAGGAAGTGGAAATCCCCTGTTGTCCTCTCACATCAAAATCCACAGACATATTTGTTTACAACTGTTTTTGATTGTAAACGGTGCTTGATCTGCGCACATTTCTCTTCTGATTTAGACCACATGACTTTTTCAAAGGAAATAGCAATATTATGGATAGAGGGCTCATATTTTATCTGAAAGCAACGGTTTGAAGTTAAAAAAAAAAAACATCTTGATAGATTTTTTTTTTTTTTTTTTTTTACAAATTGAAATTT